TGTTTGACCCATCAGTCCACCCCATCTTTATACTGTGTTACTTGACTTTGACGGCACATCAAACCGTTAAGCTACACCGAAGCCTCCAGATATGTCGTGCAGTATCAATCAGGCTATACAAAAAAGCTCTGTAGAACTGTCGAGCTTATGGTGATTCTCTGCGGTTTCATCATTTAAGAACAACACCTTTTAGGTTTTTGTCACCTTAAAATTAGCAATTTTTAATCAACAGACGCTGCGGGTTGGCCATCCATGTTGCACCACCATGTTTCTACAGTAGCCCAAAAGGGACAAACCAAACACTGGCTCTAGATAGGGGAGTTTGTGATTTTCGTGCATTTCACAGCCACCATAGTTTCTCCGAGCTAAGAAGGCGAGGGTGAAGAGACAGAGTTGCGATCTGCACCGCTTGATGCCACGAAATCCTACACACTGGTCCTTTAATACGAAATATGTGTAGAGACAATATGTTTAAAGCTACAATATGCACTTTAATTAGTAGGAATTGAAACCTTCAGGAATATAGACAAGTGGAGATTATAGTTTTAAAATCAATAATGCAATCCTTGTAAACACTTGTTCCAGATAAACACATGTATCTAAGTGGCACATACACACTTGTAGTTGCTTAGTGAGTGGAATGTCTCTACCTATTGTTGTGGGATCACTAAGCAGCGGGCCTGATAAGCTTCCAGTTAGGTCCAGGCGGTGTAATGATATACTCGCTCCTCACCTGACTGATCTCATTAAGACTGCATGCTCAGACCTGCCTGTGCTAACCGGACCAAGGGGAAGAGCACGGTCTGTCCACTTGGTCCGAGCTGTGGACACCTCATGTCGAGAACTCAGAGACAATTGTGTGTGTATTAATGTTATTCATGTTCATCATCGTTATCATCACCATCAGTCACTATTATTAGTGTAGTTGCTACTGTTGTTGCTGTGCATCTGTCTCAATGGCCTGGTTGTGGTTACTTAGTCTGCACCTCTTGCCCTTTTCAGTTTCTGGTCACTCACAGGACCCTAAAAATCTGCCACTTGGCACAGTACGATTACTGTGAAGTTTTTAGTAGATGTCCAGTTGTTGATTTTTCGGTTCTTTGGCTATAATTTGGTCTCTTTTTCTTTCTTTGTCCTCCTCTCTCTCTCTGTCTGTCTCTCTCTCTCTCTCTCTCTTCTGTTATGAATTTGCGCTATACAAATAAAATGTATTGAATTGAAATGGAATGTTTTGTAGAAAAGGTGCTGGCTCAGCTGCACCTTGTGCTGATGAATATGAATCAAGACTAGGTAGAAAGCTAGTATATGGCTGGAGTGGGTATGGTCAGTGTATCTATATGGGAATTCCTGGATATCAAATGTTCATCTGCAATTTTCTGTAGTGGTCCCAGCAATGTTTGGTGTGTACTGTGTACTGAAGAAGCATGCCACATGACATTGATAAGCTACAGTCTAAAAATGTTAGAAATACAGTTGCAAGAACTCCGTGGAAGGCGACCTGCAGCGTCTTGAACTACCCCTGCTCTTTCATTTGTTTCTATCTGCGTGATGTGCAAAGAGGTGGAGCGTACTGAAAACTGCCACCTGTGACGGCAAATATGTTTGTTTCTGCTGTAAAGTTGGGCATTTTAATTTTAATATTTTAAATCTCGTCATGGAGATTGACTCGCTTCTGGAGCCAGCCTCAAGTGGCCGTTAGAGGAACTGCAGTTTTGGCACCCCTGTGCTGGCTTCATCCGGCAGCCATAAAGATTGCCGCTTGATCTTTGTAGGCTCGGGAGAAGAACTATTGGTGGCTGTGAAGATGGCACGAAAATCACAACTTCCGCGCGTATCTAGGAGCCAGGTTTGGTTTGTGCCCTTTTGGCTGACTGCTGAGAAAATGGTGGCTGTGCAACGGGATGGATGGCAGGACCGCCAGCGGTCTGTTGAGTTAAAAATTGTAGATTTTAGAGTGGACAGAGAAGCGCCGTAAAAGGGCGTGTTGCTTCTTAAATGATGAAACCGCAGAGAGTCAGCCATGAAGCTCGAGCAGTGTCGTACAGAGCTGTTTTTGTATAGCCTGATGTTGCCATTACGTGCGGACGACATATGCGCTGGAGGCTTGCTGGGTGTAGGCTTAGACGTTTTGACTGTGCCGTCAAAGTCGAAGGTTAACACAGTATAGGAAGATTGGGGTGGAACTGGTGGTCAGAACAAACATAGGAGCGTTAATCAGGAGACCGACTGTTGTGGTCCTGTGAGGAAACAAAAAGTCAACGTTTTTGTTCAGAACTTCTTAATGTATTAGTTACGTGAATGGTTACTAACAAAGAAGTTTCGCTGGGCCTAACCTTGAAACCACACAAGCTTTTTTTGAAAGGACATTGCCATATTTATTCTCGCTAACGTGACCGCGATTGGCCCTCACAATCCAAACAGATGTATGTTGACAAGTGTGGGGAGTGAGGACTGGGTGATTTAGATCAGATGTATTATTTGTCGAGGTTTTGTCAACGTTGTTCTGCTGCCCCCAAAGTGGCCAAAAGACTGACGATGAAGTCGATTTGAAAGCCTCCTATGAGTAATTGTTGTTTTCTTTTAGAGAGAAGTGTACACAGTTCTTATCGAAAATGTGGTGGCAGTCTGTATGTTGACATGTAGGTTTAAAAATGTTCAGTGGTGTTGGCTGCGCGTAATTTATGACTTCTCAATGTTGTTCGAAGTTTCGACTCTTCGTGAACTGTATTGTACATTGTCCTTATTTCCTGTGGTCATTACAGGTGCTGCTTGTTCTGCCTCAACTCAGCAACATGGAGTGTTTGCTTGTGGAGAAGACAGCTGGACAAAAACCTCGCAAAAACCGCCACGCTCTTTTAAAGGTGCGATGAATGAAACAAAAGTATCACGACAATGTAGCCAGAAAAAAAGTAAAAATACAATTTAAAAAAAAACAGCATTTTTAACTTTCTAATGCTTGCCTGTTAGGTTGCAGGACCTTCCCCAGATTTCCTTTGTCCAATGGAAGCCACGGGGGACGGCAGCCAGAGCGATGGAAGATGCCACCTCCGCAGATTTAAGTACACTGAGCAGGGACATGCCCGAATCCAGACAAAAAGTGGACTAATGGGGCCCACCTCCAGGTTATCTGCGGACAAGACGCAATATGTAATGGGAGAAAGCCTCTGTTCTCTGCGAGAAACAGGGACACGACCACGTCTATGTCTTTAAACGAAGGACCAGCACCCACAGAAGCACACAGAGAGAAGGTGGAGGATGGAGTGTGAACTGACTTTCCAGATATAGAAGATTTGTGTAATGGCCTGTGCTGTCTCGGTACATTTCTTTTTTTTCGTTGTTCTACCATGAAAAGTTATGACCTCATGTTTGGAGATTCTATGGGCGTAACTACAGGAATCTAAAATTAAAATTGTAATAATAAGACAACAGGTCTTATTTAAATATTTAACAGTTGTAAGTACAGGTGTAATAATTAAAGGATATATCTACTTTGCTTTGTAACTACGGCGTGTTGCCATACACATGATGGCCCGTGTCTGTCACTCACTCTATACTCTGGCGTTAATAGGCATGGGTTGACAACCTCATTGTCACTTTGTCATTATCAAAATGGCCAGCCACGAATTAAAAAGTCCCACCCCTTTTTGCTCTGGCGGCTCCAGATAAACGAGTTGGAGGCAAAGCTACGCGTCGAGAACTTCGTTAACTTCCTCCTTTTCCTGATGCTGATGTGGCTTAGGCTCTCTATGTTTGAGAACACAACCACATTTTAAAGATGGTAAAAGATAAAAGTCACATATCCGAGTATAGTCATCACATCTTAACTGGTTGACGTGTCATTTATTTGTCTATGTCTTTTCTATTCACCTGTACTTAGTGTTAGAACTGTAGCACTATTCTGATTATGTTTTATACTTAAAAGGTCGTTATATTTTTTATGCTGCCTGTTTGGCCACCGTGGGGGGTCCGCAGAGGACCTGAAAATTTCATCTGGGGCTGCGCTAATGCGGCATTGAGGAGCATATTTTGTGACGAACTGAACACAGGCTTGCTTTGACTTTTGACTTAAGTTAGCTAGATAAGATGTTAGCAAAGGACACTAGCTACAGTAGTATGCGATGTTTTTTTGGTTGGGCAAAATATGAGTAACAAGACTAATCAAACATTGCATAGGGAATACGTACGGGATAACTAGCTGAAACTACATCTATTGTGGTAGCTGTAGGCTAGTTACAAACTTCACTAGCTTTATTTAGTAGATAGTTACTTTTAGCTTTTAACCATCTTCAAAATGTTGGTTGCTCGTTTTCAACATTGATTAGCCTAGGCAACTAGTGAGCATATCTAAGTACAGGGAAAGGAGAAGAAGCTTTGACAGAGTTGGCTGCAACTGGTTCATTCGGGTGCACAGAGCAAAAAGGCGGGCAAAACTAAGAGAGGGTCCAGTTCTCCGAATAGACTGGATGACACTGGTGGAGCGAAACTTGTTTTCCGGGGGGCCCCGCCTGGGCCGCGCGTGTACCGGATCCGGGTGCCGCTCGCCGCCCCCGCCCGGCGGTGGCCGCGCCCCCCACGTCCCTGCGCTGGCGCCCCGCGCGGGGTCATAATTTATGAAAGGGTACAAACAGTGTCTGTTAATGCAAGACATTCTGAGATCACGCAAGATGTCTCCGAGTAATCGACCACACGGATGCGGCCACACTATTCCTGAATTTGTGTATTCTCAGGTTACGGGCGGGTGGTGACCTCCTCGAAACACTAAGCCCCCCATATGTGATGGCGTGCCTGTTGTCCGCATGGTGATGCCTAGAGAGGGTGTCGGTTGGTAGACTCAAGGAGGAAATGTCAGATCAAAGGCTCAGCAGGAACAAAAGAAGCCCAGGAGTTACCGTGAAACGTTGTTGTGGTGTTTGAACTGGAAACACTGTCTAACGCTGGGGGTGATGAATGGGCACACACTGCACAAGCTACAGTAATGGTTGCAGTTGCTTGGTCCCTGCTCTCCATTATTTATTAATATTCAATTAATTAAATAAGGGTTTTTAGGTCAAATACTGGGTCTAAAAATACTGGAAGCAGTCAGTTAAAAACATGTCACAAGGCTCCAGTGTGTCTTGACATTTAGGATGGATTCTATTGTTTCAGAAATGGAATATAATATTTATAAGTATGTTTTCATTAGAGTATAATCACCTGAATATAATATTTGTTAGAGGGTGTGGGTCGTCAGCAGTACAGCTGTATGCATTCAGTCAGCTGAAGTACATGAGTGTGTAACAGGTAACAGCCACAGTGCATTCATTGTGCCCTATGACCAATCATTAACAGAGCTGATGTTGCTCAATAGACAGTCAGAGGACATAACTCAACATATTTGACATGTATTAAATACAATGTATGTCAAACACAGGGGACAGTGCAGGAAACCATAGCAACAAGCAGGTGACACCAAACACAAGTGACCTGCTCAAAGCGAGCAGCCCAGGTAGTCCACAGAGCTGAGCATGGAAGGTTGATGGGCTGGGTAGTGTACGGCAAGCTACAGGGAGTGGGATTCAAGCAGCAGCGACATTTGTGGCTTGGTGATTTCAGCAACATGACAAATGTGCAACACGTGATAAACCCCTTTCAAAAACCCACCAATTGTATGTGTCCTTGCTTACAGACAGACGTACATAACGTTACCCAGTGGAATCCACCTTTGACTATTACTTTGGGATATTCTTGTAAATTCAGAATCATTATGATCCACCCAGCTGCGCTTCCGTTTCATAAAATCTCTTATTTAAAGTGTTTGCCACTTTTTCCACCGCCCACTTACTGTCTGTTTTGTCGGCGGAAGTCAGACCAAGACTCCCTTATCGTAACTCTATCAATGCATTCTGATGAACAAACTCCCCCATCAGCCGCCACAACCCTGTCTCAGTGCCAGAGGATACAAATCACACACACTTACCACATTGAGCGGCGCGGTGTAGATGGAGCAGCCAGTTGTTGTAGCGCTCCGCAGTAGCTTTGTTGCTGCAGCCTGCTTCCTCAAACCGTGCTGCCTTCACGGGCTCCTCCCTAAATCCGGCACTGCATCTGTACTGTACGAAATAATACTTAGTTCTACAACAGAAAAGACCGTTATTTATAGCACGTAACGTTATGTAACATGCATTTTGTGTGGGATATGATTACATTTTAAGGATACAAAAGTAATCATTTATACAAACGTGCAGTGCTGTAGCCATGGAGTCAACATTAGGGGGCAGGGGGGTCTGCCCCTCACCAGAAAAAATATTAAAATGTGAAAACTCATTTTCTGCCATTTAACTATCAATAGTTTTGGACTTTTTTAATCATTTGAACAATTTCTTGATGAACAACTGTGTGCAGAACTGCATTTCGCTAGCTAATGCATGGAATGTATGTTAGCTAGCTAACATTCAATCATACATTAACGTTAGATCCCAAAACAATAACAATTCATAACGCCAAAATAACACTTTAAACTATAACAATGGGCAGTAATATATCCTATGTTAAGTTACATTCTAATTTTCCACTTTTTAAAACATTTGAACTATTTCTTGAACAATAATAAGACTGCAGTTCCATGGCTAATAGGGTTAACCCATGGAATGTATGCTAGCTAGCTAACATTCTGAAGTAAGTATCATTTACAACTATTGCAATGGACAGTGATATAGCCTACCGAACACCCATTAACGTTACATTCTAATTTGACGCTTTTTAAATACATTTGACGGTAATGAAACCGACAGACGGTACAGTGTTTAACTTCTTGTTCCTAAGAATTGTACAGCAACATGACACACAACTGCAGTACATCATAATACTACAACTAGAACTAAAATAATGGCAGTTTGTTAAGTTTAGCAATAAACATGATTACATTTGCTGATGATTATTTCGGATGGTTGTGCGTGGTGGCTGTCGTATAACAGTAACTTATATTTTTTGTATCTAACGTTATATTGTATACTACCAAACGGCTGACAGTAACAGAAAAAATGTGCACCAATCACGTTCATTTTATTACTTTGTGGGGTGAAAATGTCATAATTACTATATTGCTGACAGCAAGTGAAGGCAACATAAAGTTCAATTTGGAGCTGATGTGGCTCTTTGCCCCCCTCTAGGGGCAAAATAAGAAGTGCATATATTTATACAGAATCACTGATGACTGATCAGACATAATGTAATATCTTGTAGCAAGAACCACAGTACAGTACTACCACAGTAATTGGTACTAATGATGATTATATAGAATAGAAATAGAATACAGAGAGAAAATAATAGAATTTAGTGAAAAACTCAAATTATTGAAAAGTGTAACCTATTAATGTTTCTTTTTCTTGTTAACCAAACAAGATTCTGTATTCAAAATGAAGCAGAAGTTTTCCAGACTTGTTTTTCCAGTATTATCCCAGTGTGATCACATGGTCAAATGTTAAGATCTAAGAAAATGTAATTATTTGTAAGACTTGTTATTTACTGACTAACTTATTGTTGTAATTTCATTTGGTAACTCTATATAGCTTTTAGTAGGTTTAGATATCTATCTGAGAAACTGATAAAGTTATAATTCATACTCAAATAAAACCATCAACACACAGGTCTTGTACATAGAATCATCTTTCCTTTTATTGATCATACCATTCACACTCATGGACAGGACACAGTGAGCTTTAGGGACCAGCACTCTCACCTACAACAACACACCATCAATGTGCAAAAGAAGCCTTGGAGCTTTTTGACTACATTTGTTTTTTTTTTTGACCCCTTGAACAAACATCATCAACAGCCAGCACATGTGTAAAACTAGCTTCTTTTGTCCAAAATGTATGCATGTATGTTCTTTGATCCCTGTAAGGATGAATACTCTCTCAGTCTATCTTCCTCTTATTCTCACCTTCAGATTAGAAGCTCAGACTTTTGAGCGTACAGCAAAAACAATCAGTGTTTTAAAAAGTGCCACTCTGTGGGTAGTGAACTAGAAGTCGACGCAGCGGCCCTTTCTCTCCCAGTCTCCATAGCGGGTGGGCTCTGGACCTCGGGGACCCCCCTTCTCCTTGGTTACAGGGTTCACATCATCAGGAAACTCTGGAGGAAAAGAGGAATGGTTCAGTTTGAAAGATGCAGCATTTTCCCATCTTCTCGTTTTGTTGGAGCTTTGACAAACATTTCCTAACTCAAGGTCCACTTGCTAGCTTTTCCTGAGCTTTCAACCACAGTTCATGGTCTTGCGTTCCTTAGCTCAGTAGCTCCCAACCTGTCTCCTTCAGGGAGCCCTTTCCTATCAACTGTTGCCAACAGTAATATCAGATGCTGTTAGCTGGTTACCTTCTGCAGCTACCCTTAGCTGACTTAGCCCTGGGGATGCCAGGAGCCAAACCCAGCAAAAAAAACCCCTCAGTACTGTCCCTGTCATCAAACTGTGCTCCGTCAGCATCAGATGCTGCATTCAGTCCTGGTCTGGTCGTGCTGTTCACTGGGAGCTCCCAGTCCCAGCAGAGTCAGCTAATAGGACCACTACAGCTGCTGGACTGGGGGGACGTAAACCACATTCAGCACTATCGGCTACCACCAAGTCCCTCCCTAGCTGCCTGTTTTTCCTAGAAATGTGTGAATATGAGGAAGCAAACAGCACTCTTTCCTTTTGACGTGGACTTTAATGATTGGCATTAGGGCGCAGTGGATGTACTGTGGCTGTTACCTGTTACACACACCAGCACGCTGCAGACACAGGGTGACAGCAATCATAGCTGAACTGTATCTGTATATGTATCAGTTCCACATATCTGCTATTTGTTCCTTGATTACTAATAATTTGCATCTGTATTGCAAACACATATCAGTCCATCCTTAGCTAAAAAGAATAACAAAGATATGTATCAAATAAACATACAACTATTGACACATTTAGTTTCTCACTGTCAATACAGTTTGAACAAATTTAATTTTAAATTAACACAAGGAATGGCAGTTTTACTGACATTTTTCTTTATCCTTGTTAATAATGATAACTGTCATTATACTCTGCATCACACAATTCTAATCATTATTATTATTATTATTA